AGAGAGAGAGAGAGAAAGAGAGAGAGAAAGAAAGAGAGAGAGAATGAGAAAGCAAGCCACCAGGTTTGGGACTTGAACTGTGGTCGGCCATGTGGGAGTGTCCAGCACCCTAACCACTATGCCACCTGCTGGTCCCAAGTCAATATAGGTAAATCAACATCCATTTTGATTTATCTGTAAGTTTTTTTTAAATTAATTAATTTATTTATTTTAATTTGACCAGAAAGAGACACAGAGAGAGAGGGGGAAAGTCAGAGAGTAAGCTACCAGGTCCGGAACTCGAATTGTGGTTGGCCATGCGGGAGTCTCCAGCTCCTTAACCACCATGCCACCTGCTGATTTCTGTTTTTATTTATTTTTTTTAAGAGAGATTTTTGCTAAAGGGCACGTGTGCTCACTGGAGAAGCAGAGAGAGAGAGAGAGAAAGCAAGAAATCACCCCCAAGAGGGGTTGGCCACTCTGCAATCCCTTCTCCATTCTCCTCTTGAGATTTTGGGCATGCACACATATGCATCCAATATGAGTTTGAAGCCACCAGGTTCAGGAGTTGTACCATAGTTGGCTATGTGGGAATTCGGCAACATAACCATTATGCCACTTGATGGTCCCTATCTGTAGGATTTTTTTTTAATTATTTATTTTTATGTATTTATGTATTTTCTTTTAATTTGAGGAGAGATGGAGAGAGAGAAACTGGGAGAGCAAGCCACCAGGTCTAAGACTCAAACTGTGGTTGGCCATGTGGAAGTCCAGCACCTTAACCACCATGCCACCTGCCAGCCCCCCATCTATAGTATTTTTGAGTGAATCTCTTTGTGTGTGTGTGTGTGTGTGTGTGTGTGTGTGTATTTTTTTTAAAGAGATTTTTGCTAAAGAACATGTGTACTCTCTGGAAAGACAGAGACAGAAAGTGAGACATCACCACCCATGGGAGTGCCCACACTGCAATTCCTTCTCCTCCATTATCCTCTCAGGATCTTGAGCATGCACGCACACACGCCCGGCGTGAATTTTAAGCCACTGGGTCTGGGATGTGAACCGTAGTCGACTACATGGAAGTCAAGCAACATAACTATTATGCCATCTGCTGTTCCTCTTTGTATAGTTTTCATTGCTAGAGGGTGCTTGTATTTGCCAGAATGAGAAAAACTCCCAATGGCTTTGTTCATGTCATAATTCTTTTCCTCCACTTCTTAGTTTCTTTAGAATTTGGGGCATGCAAACACATGTTCCTGGCATGTCTTTCAAGCTGCCAGGGCCAAGATTCCAACTGCCATTGACCAAATGGAATCTGGCCCAAGTGCACAGTGCTTAACCACTATGCTACAGGGCTGTGTAGATATTATACAGATGTATATTAGTCGTTGCTCTAGGCACTATATTATATAATTGCACTATATTATATAAACTACACTCTCCCCCTTAAAATTTGCTTAAACATTTCTTCTGTATTATGACATTAGATATAATATATGCTTCGATCATTAAACATAATTTATTGTCTTAAGTACAATTTAGAAAACTCTTGGGGCCAGCAGGTGGTGTGGTGATTAAGGCACTGGACATTCCCACATGACTGACCATGACTCGAGTCCTGGACTTGTGGCTTGCCTTTTTACTTTCCTTCTCTCTGTGTGTCTGTCTTTCTCTAGTCAAATTAAGATAAATGTGTCTGAACTCCTTTACCCATTCTTTAGGGTGGGCCTGTTGGCAAAAATATTCTTTTAGAGTAGGTCTGTAAGCATCAAAATCTATTTCACTTCCATTTCTAAAGGATAGTTTCATTGTATGTTGACTTCTGGGTTTGACAGTTCTTTCTGCACTTAAAAAATGTATCACTTTCTTTTGGCTTTCGTGGTTTCTGAAGAAAAATGCTGTCCTTTGAATCACTGTTCCTCTGTAGGCATTATGTCAGGTCTCCCCAATTGCTTTCAAAATTTTTTCTTTGGATTTATTTTATTTGGAATTTGGCTATCATTTTTAATTTTCTTTTTTTTAAGGTTTTTGTCATAGGGCATGCACACTCACTGGAGAGATATAGAGACAGAGACAATGAGAGGAAACTGAGAAATCATCCTCCCCAAGGATGGCCACACTGTAATCCCTTCTCCTCTCTTCTGGATTCTGGATACACACGCACACACACACCCTGTGTGTTTTTCAAGCTGTGGGTCTGGGACTCGAACTGCCTGCCATTGGCCATATGGGAGTCCAGTGTCTTAACCACTATGCCACCTGCTGGCACCAATCTGTGGATTTTTGTTTTTGCCAAATGTCAGAAACTTTCAGTCACTATATCTCCACTCTTATTGTTGTTTTGCCTTTTTTTTTTTTTTGGTCCTTCTCTGCTAGAGAGCCTATGCACTTGCCAGAGAAAAATGGAGAGGCTGCCTTCCAGCCTCATGGGAAATGGTCATGCCTCAGTCCCTTTTCCTCTCATTTCATCCTTTCAGAACTTAGAACACACACACTTGTGCCTGATGAATTTCTGAAGCTGCTGGATCTGGGGCTCAAATTGTATGTTAGGCCATGTGAGATGGCCTGCCTCAACCACCAGGCCACAGGCTGGTCTGATTGCTTTTTTTTTTTAGAGGTTTTTGTCTTAGGGCACTGCATGCACCCACCAGAGAGAGACAGGCACAGTGAGAAATCATCCCCTAGGGGGAATGGCCACATTGCAGTCCCATCTCCTCCCTTCTCCTCTCAGGATCTTGGGGACATGTGCACACATGCCTGGCGTGATTTTCAAGCCACTGAGTCTGAGACTTGAACCATGTGGGAGTCCAGTGATATAGCTGGTATGCCATCTGCTGGTCCCCCCAGATTGTTTCTTTAGCTTCACTTGCTTTCTTTTTCTTTAGGAACTCTGATATTATGAATGTTATATCTTTGTTTATAGTTGTGCAGATCCCTGAGACTATTTTTCCCCTTCCAGTCTGTTTTCTCTGTTGTTCAGATTGAATAATTTGTTGTCCTGTCTTCTTTTTAAAGAATTATTTTATTTAACTTTATTTATACATTTATTTATTTATATTAATTTGACCAGAGAGGGACAGAGTTAGAGAGAAAGTGAGAAAGCATGCTGCCAGGTCTGGGACTTGAACCAAGGGTGGTCATGTGGCACCCTTACCCGCCATGCCACCCTTTTTGTCCTATTTTCAAGTTTGTTCATTCTTCCCTCACTAGCTTCATTTGTCTATTTGTTATATTTTCTTTTTTTTTTTTTTTCCCTCTGTAAGACTTCCTATTCTTTCATGTGTGCTTTTAATTGCTCATGGGAACATTTTCATGTTAGCCACTTTTAAATTTTAGATAATTCTAGAATTGTCTGACATGTTGACATCTATTTATTGTGTTTTTTGTCTTCCAAGTTGAGATTTTCCTGGTTCTTGGTATGACATGTTTTTTCAAATTGCATCTGGGCACTGTGGGTACTATGAGACTCTGGATCTCATTTAAATCTCCTGTTTTAGCCATCCTCCACTAAGACCATGCCAGTACAGGAATGTGGACAGGGACTCTTTAGACAAAATGAGGGGACAGCCATGTGAGAATCCAGTGCCTTTAACCACCACACCACCTGCCAATCTCTTATATTTGTTTTATATGTAATATCCAGGGTTTTTAACTGTACTTAGTTGAAGGATTAAAAGTAATATGCTGGGGACCAGCAGGTGGCATGGTGGTTAAGGCACTGGACACTCCCACATGGCCAACCATGGTTCGAATACCAGACCTGGTGGCTTAAACTCACGCCCAAGATCCTGAGAGGAAAATGGAGGAGAAGGGATTGCGGCGTGGCCATCCCCCCTGGGGGTTGATTTCTCGCTTTCTGTCTCTGTCTGTCTGGCAAGTGCACATGCCCTATAGCAAAAACCTCTCGATATAAATAAATAAATAATAAATGAATAAATAAAAAATAATTTTTTAAAAAGTAATACGCTTACTTCATCTTGTACAGAGCTAGAATGCTATGCTCCTTTTTGGTTTACCACAAAAAACAATATTATGAGGAATTGGTATATAGAATAAGGTTCTAGGCAAGGGAATATTATCTTGGTTGAAGACTTGCATTATTTATACATTGTGAAAATTGTGAAACTAAAAGCTACCTCCCTACCCCCCAAAAAAAGAAAAACAAAAAACAAAAAAAGCACACTCAGCAAACAAAAATATTCATAATTTTAAGCACTTTCATGGCTTCCTTTGGCCACAGAAATCATGAGGAATATTTAAGTCATCAAGTTTATTGTGGGGGTCACAACAAAGCCTGAGACCGAAACTGCCATAGGAAGCACATGAAAAGCAGCACTAGGACATTTTGCCAGTTGATAGAAAATAATCTTGAAACTCTGGTTCTCTGTTACTGAATCACCTTTCTAGTGTTTGACAAAAGCATAGGTAAGGGGGTCAGTAGGTGGCATAGTGGTTAAGGTGCTCGACTCCCACATGGCCAACCAGGGATCCAGTCCCAGACACTATGGCTTGAAGGTCACACCAGGCAGTTGTGCATGAGTGCCCAAAATCTCAGAAGGAGCATAAAGAAGGGATTACAGCATGGCCATCCTCTGGTGGAAAATGATTTCTTACTTTCCTTGTCAGTGTCTTTCTCCTCTCCAGTGAGTGCACATGCCTTATGGCAAATACTTATTAAAAATAAGAAAAGTAGGTATTTATTGTGTATTGATGCTACTATGTGACTCCTGCCCTAAGGATGACCCAAACAATGATTCAGGAACCTGTCACATCTCTATAGAGCAAACTACTCAGTAGGACTTTGGTACAGCTGCAGAGAGACTTTCATCCTAGTGAGACTCTTAACAGTAGCTTTGTCTCCCTATTGGTGCCATTTTGATACGGCATGAATATGTTAGCAATCTGAAAATGAGGGGATGCTCTGATGGCACAGAAAAATTGGAACAGTCTGTATGGAAATGGGCAGCTGGAATTTTGTTAGAAAAAACAAATTCTATTTTTCCCCCTAAAATGGAGATAACTTTATCAGTTGCTGAACATAAAGATTACATACTCTTGGCACCAATATCTAAGAAAATGTATGAACTCTTGGCTGATATCTAAGAAAACAGGAAGAAGGGTGCAGAAAATAAAAACTAGAGATAACCATTTTGTAATTTTTTTTTTAAATTGTCTGATCTGCTCACCAAAGAGGCAGAGGGAAGGAGAGAGGAAGAGGGAGAAAGTATCTACCAGTGGGCCATGTTTATGCAGCAGACCCGGTCCTTCATTTTCTCTTCCCCATCAGGAGATTTTGCACACGCATGCATACATGCTTGGCATGTCCCTCAAGCCACCAGGGATAGGACCCAAATCACAGTTAGCCATGTGGAACCTGGCTCCCAATGCACAGTGCTCAACTACTGTGCTATGGGGCCAGCCCCATTTTGTAACATTTTGATGAATATTCTCATAGGTTGTTTTTTTTTTTTTCATATGCAGAAATTTTTTTTTTTTTTAGAAATAGTATGCTGGGGCCAGCAGGTGATGTGGTGGTTAAGGGTGCTGAACTTCCACATGGCTGACAGCAGTTTGAGTCCTGGACCTGGTGGCTTGCTTTCTCTCTCTCTGGTCAAATTAAAATAAATAAATAAATAAATTTCAATAATTCTTTTTTTTTTGGGGGGGGGAGGTTTTTTGCTATAGGGCACACGCACTCGCCAGACAGAGAGAGACAGAGAGACAGCAAGCGAGAAATCACCCCCCAGGGGGGATAGGCACGCCGCAATCCCTTCTCCTCCATTCTCCTCTCGGGATCCTGGGAATGCACACACACGTGTCTGGCGTGAGTTTAACCCAGCGGGTCCAGGACTTGAACCGTGGTCGACTACATGGGAGTCCAGCGACATAGCCATTACGCCAACTGCTCGTCCCAATAATTCTTTAAAAAAATAATATTTTGCTATATATTCTTTAGTATCTTGTTTATTTACTATATCATGGACATTGTATTGTATCAATATAGGGCCAAAGCGTCATATCACAGCTAACCTAAAGTAATTCTGTAGCCTAAAAAAATTGAACCTTATTATTTGACTTTGCATATCTTTGACTACTGGTGATAGTCTATTTTTGTGTGTGTGTGTGTGTGAGTTGCCAGTTGATGTCACCTACATTTTTCCTTTGAAGTGTTCAACTTTTTTTTCTTGAGAAAGAGGGGGTATTTTTGAGTTTCACCACATCCTGACCCTTTTGCCCTAGCCTATTTGGATCAGACTGACAGAACTGAACCAGAGCCTCACATGTGGCCTCAGCCACTGTTCAGTGGCTCCCTCCTGCTTGTACATTGCAGTAGGGCTGTGAGGACTTTTGTTTTGCTAACTAGCAGGGGTGGTCAGAATAATGTAGGAGTGCTTTTAGATGAGAGCGGGCATTTCCAGGCAGTGCAGACTTTGTGGAGATGTCTACTTGTTCTTAGGTCTACCCCACAGTGATCAGCTTGCCACATTTGCACAGGGGCTGGTTTTTCTGTCTCTGATGTTAAATCAATTTAGCAGTTGCTGTGATTCTTATAAAAGAATAATCCTTTTCATTAGTTTGTTATAAAAGTTTTTACATGGCACAGGATGCAAATAATTAAAACCATTTATTCAAATCTCCTCTAGTTCCTTTCCCAAGATGTAAGCAATTTTTACAGTATGGTATGTGCCCTTCCAAGGCTTTTTCTGGGCTTATACAACATTTGGATATATAAAAGTAATAAATAACAAATTATTGTTTAATGAGACTTCTTTTATAGCTGGCATGTGAATTGATAACTTCGTTATCAAAAAACTTCTGTTGAACTTGTTTACCAAAAAACATTTATGAGAGAAAATGTTATCTAAAATGGTGCTCTTATTAAAGAATTAATATAACTGTCATGTTGTATTCATGAGAAATAGCACTAAATTTCTATGTATTATTTGTCATTTAAGGGTACAACTGGAAACCGATTTGAAGATTGAGAAGGAATGGAGGCAGACTTTGCAGGAAGATCTTCAAAAAGAAAAAGATGTCTTAGCTCATCTTAGAAATGAGACCCAACAAATCATTGGTCTTAAAAAAGTAAATAGTGGTAAAACTTTAAAAATCATATCTTGACAAATGTTGATTTATTTAAAGTGATAAATCATATCTTGCATTTATACTCAGGAAACCATATATACAAATATTCATAAAGAATATCAGTAAGGAAATTAAGTGAATGAAAACAGTTGATACATAGAGTAGCCAGGAAAGAGGGACCAGCAGTTAGCGTAATGGCTATGTCACTGGACTCCCATGTAGTCGACTGCGGTTCGAGTCCCAGATCCAGTGGCTTAAACTCACACCAGGTGTGTGTGCATGCGTGCCCAAGATCCCAAGAGGAGAATGGAGGGGAAGGGATTGCTGCATGGTTATACCCTCTGGGGGGTGATTTCTCACTTTTTTTTTTTTCTGGGGAGGGCACATGCCCTATAGCAAAAACCTCTCCAAAAAAAAAAAAAAGGGTAGCTAGGAAAGAGCTTTGGACACTTTTTGTAAAAAGCAAAAGGAGGCCCAGCCTCAGTGGTGTGTGGTGCTAGGAAGTTGAGCTCTGCATGCTGGCACCACAGGGTGGGCCTGGGTTGGATTTCTGAGTACAAAGGATCACAAGCTCAAGGCTGGCCTGGGCAACACAGCAAGTCCTGTCTGGAAAAGAGCCAGACGTGGTGATACACCCCCGAAGTCCCAGCTAGGACTCTGAGACTGGGAGATGACAACATGTCAAGACTCTGTATTTATTTATTTAAAGATTTATTTATTTAATTCCATTTGTTATTATTGTTTTAAATTGGACCAGCAGAAAGAGAAAAGAGAGAAAGCAAGCCATCAGGTCCAGAACTCCAACCACAGTCGGCCATGTGGGAATCCAGCATCCCAACCACCATGCCACCTGCCGGCCAAGACCCTGTCTTTAAAATAAACCAAACTGGGACCAGCAGTTGACGTAATGGCTGTGTCACTGCACTCCCATATAGTTGACTGTGGTTCGAGTCCCGGACTCAGTGGCTGAAACTCACGTTGGGTGTGTGTGCACCCAAGATCCCAAGAGGAGAATGGAGAAAGGATTGTGGCATGACCATCCCCCCAGGGGATGATTTCTTGCTTTCTCTATGTCGAGCACATGTGCCTTATAGCAAAAACCTCTCAAAAAGAAAAAAAAAAAAAAAGATAAAAAAAAACAAAAACATTAAATTAAAAATTAAATTTTAAAAAATCGTTCCTAACTAATGGTATATGTACGATGTAGAGTTTTTCTCTCTTAAATTCCTTTCTTTTTTTTATTATTTGCAGGAGTTTCTTAACCTCCAGGATGAAAATCAGCAGTTGAAAAAAATACATCATGAACAAGAGCAAGTTCTTGAAGAACTTGGCAATAAACTTAGCGAGTAATTTCTCTTTTCTCTTCAACTTAAGTAGTTACTGACTTTGTATTTATTTATTAGTTTTTGCCTTAGAGCACATGTGTTTGCCAGAGAGAGACAGAGACAGTGAGAGGGAAAGTGAGAAATCACTACCTGGGGGGATGGCCATGTCACAATCCCTTCTCTTGCATTCTCCTCCTGGGATCTTGGTGCTCGCCCCGGGCCCGGGTGGGTTTAAAGCCACTGGGTCTGGGACTTGAACAGTGGTTGGCCCTGTTGGAGTCCAGTAATGTACCCACTATGCCATCTATTGGCCCCCAGACATTCTAATTTCAATGAGCAACTTAAAACAATTTTTAATTTATTCTTTTTAATTCATGATAACATGTGTGGTCATGTAAGAAAGAAGCTCCCTTGACAGAATCTTGTCATGCCATGATCCCCTTTCCCTGGCCCTCCTGCTCCTTAGGATCTTGGCCATGTATGCACATGCCTGGCATGTTTTTAGGCTGACCTGGGAATCTGAACCCATGGTCAATTTCCAGCACTGCAGTTCAGGTTGCTACCAACTGCACCCACCAGGCTGGGCTGTTAAAAAACAAAAAACAGGAACCAGCAGTTAGCGTAATGGCTATGTTGCTGGACTCCCATGTAGTTGACTGTGGTTCGAGTCCCAGACCCGGCAGCTTAAACTCACACCGGCACGTGTGCATGCGTGCCTAAGATCCTGAGAGGAGAATGGAGGAGAAAGGATTGCGGCATGGCCATCCCCCCTGGGGAGTGATTTCTCACTTCCTGTCTATCTTTCTAGCGAGTGCACTCACCCTATAGCAAAAACCTCTCCAAAAAAAGAAGAAAAAATTAAGTTTATTATGAGAGTACCAGAGAGATACACACATAGACCCCAACAGGGTTTTCATGCCATAATTTATCCCGTCTTAGCCAGCCTGGAGTACAGGCATACGTATGCTGCTTACCCAGCATGCTCAGTGAACCCAGGATCTTTCCCACATAAATCTGCTTTCATTACTGCTATGCCACCACTTGGCCCTGAACTAATTTTGGGGTGAAAAATCTGAAGCAAGTTGAAAGTTCAATAATAGATAATTATGTAGACTATATTCTTTTGCATGGAACATACTATGTAACTAACAGTGATTTGGCAGGTACTTAGTATCAAGTCAGTAGCTGCAAACTGTTTAGGATACATTATTAAGTGAAAAGGGCTGGTTATCAGAAACTATGTAGAAAATTATTCTATTTAACATACTTACATATACAAACACCCATAGAAAGACACAGAAGATAATCTCTGGGTAATGGGATCACAGGTAATTAAATACTGCTTTTTACAATATGCATTTTCATTTTGAAGAGGTAGAAAAGCATCATAGCTTCTGCAGTAATTCCTTCCTTAGCACTTCCTGTATCTGCTAGAGAACCTGTGCTTAATGATTAGCATGTGGGCTTCGGGTTACACAGCCCAGTGTTAGAATCCTGGATGCTCCAGTTATCATCTCTGGGACCTCTTAGAAGTGACTAAACCTCATCAGGCCTTCTTCATCTTTAAAACAGGCTTTTGGGAGGGCAACTGGTGGCGTGGTGATAAAGGTGCCAGACATGGCCAACTGCAGTTGGAGCCCTAGACCTGGCAGCTTAAAAAATCACACTGGGTGCATGTGTATGCATGCCCAAAGTCCTAAGAGAAGAATGGAGGAAAAAGAATTGTGATGTAGCCATCCCCCTCTGGGGGTGATTCCTCACTTTCCCTCTCTGTCTCCAGCAAGTGCATGTGCCCTATGAAACTACCCCACCCCCCAAAAAATAGGCTTTGGTGAATTAAATGAGAGTATGCATGCAAAGGGTGTAACATAGTATCTTTCTGTACCCTCAAACCTCAAATAAATGATGGCTACTAATAGTGTCATACACAAAAATGCCAATATATTGTTCCTTAATCTTTTTAGATCAAAACTTAAGATAGAAGATATAAAAGAAGCCAACAAAGCACTGCAGGTGAGTAAAAAATAAAGGGCTGGTTATCAGAAACTATGTAGAAAATTATTCTATTTAACATACTTACATATACAAACACCCATAGAAAGACACAGAAGATAATCTCTGGGTAATGGGATCACAGGTAATTAAATACTGCTTTTTACAATATGCATTTTCATTTTGAAGAGGTAGAAAAGCATCATAGCTTCTGCAGTAATTCCTTCCTTAGCACTTCCTGTATCTGCTAGAGAACCTGTGCTTAATGATTAGCATGTGGGCTTCGGGTTACACAGCCCAGTGTTAGAATCCTGGATGCTCCAGTTATCATCTCTGGGACCTCTTAGAAGTGACTAAACCTCATCAGGCCTTCTTCATCTTTAAAACAGGCTTTTGGGAGGGCAACTGGTGGCGTGGTGATAAAGGTGCCAGACATGGCCAACTGCAGTTGGAGCCCTAGACCTGGCAGCTTAAAAAATCACACTGGGTGCATGTGTATGCATGCCCAAAGTCCTAAGAGAAGAATGGAGGAAAAAGAATTGTGTTGTAGCCATCCCCTTCTGGGGGTGATTCCTCACTTTCCCTCTCTGTCTCCAGCAAGTGCATGTGCCCTATGAAACTACCCCACCCCCCAAAAAATAGGCTTTGGTGAATTAAATGAGAGTATGCATGCAAAGGGTGTAACATAGTATCTTTCTGTACCCTCAAACCTCAAATAAATGATGGCTACTAATAGTGTCATACACAAAAATGCCAATATATTGTTCCTTAATCTTTTTAGATCAAAACTTAAGATAGAAGATATAAAAGAAGCCAACAAAGCACTGCAGGTGAGTAAAAAATGTTTTCCTCCTGTAGGAAGATATTAGATGTATGTGTAAGTCTCCAGCATAAGGGCAAGTCTTGTATAAGGTGTTAATACTCCCAAGAAGTCAGAGGCAGAAGCGCTAAATGGGGAGTTTGGACGCTGGCGATTCAGTTCTTCTCCTCCCTCCTCACATTATTAATAATCACCCTATGTGAAATTGACCTTAAGAATAATTTCATCCAAACTTTCCTCTGAGTGTGGCATGATAAAGGGAAATTACCTTTACATCTGAGAATCCTTGGGCTCCAATGCAACACTATTAATACTTTCTGACTTCTAGGAAGCCACATATCCTGAGATTGTTTTCTCTTCTGAAATGAGCTTATGATTCTGCATCAGATTCCTATGAAAGGTGAATAGGTTTATATGTGGGAAAGTAGTCAGTACAATTTATCAAGATATAGTTGTCAGTGCATCTAAATGCAAGAATCCCTTCTACAACATCTTTGTCCCCTATCTGCCCCAGCCCAAGCCACCTGAAGAGAGCTCCTTTTGAGACCAGCAATTAGCATAATGAATATATCGCTAAACTCCCATGTAGTCAACTGTGGTTTGAGTCCCGGACCCCGTGGCTTAAACTCACATCGGGTGCGTGTGTGCACGTGCCCAAGATCCCAAGAAGAGAATGGAGGAGAAGGGATTGCAGTGTGGCCATCCCCCCTGGGGGGTGATTTCTCACTTTCTATCTGTCTGGTGAGTGCACACACCCTATAGCAACCCCCCCCCCAAAAAAAAAAAGATACTTGAACAAAACAGTGTTCACATGTCATTTTTGCTGTTACTACTTTGAGCATTAATATTTACACTTCTTACTAGGGACTGGTTTGGCTGAAAGACAAGGAAGCAACACATTGTAAACTTTGTGAAAAGGAATTCTCACTGTCTAAAAGAAAGGTAAGAGAGTTAGGAAGTCCAAAAATTTGGGTGCAAAAATGACCAATTTTATTCATAGTTTTTTTCCCCCTTATTTTTCTATTTTTTAGCACCACTGTAGAAACTGCGGGGAAATTTTCTGTAATGCCTGCTCTGACAACGAACTGCCTTTGCCTTCTTCACCAAAGCCTGTCCGGGTCTGTGATTCTTGTCATGCATTGCTCATTCAGAGATGCTCATCTAACTTGCCATAAGAGTCAACTAAATTTTATGTATGAAAATATCTAGGATGAACGTTATGTATGATTGAGTGTACAAGGTATTCAGACAGCCCGTAAGCAGCATATGGGTACCAGTTTATCTTCCACATACTCAACTTGTGGGAATTAAAAGTTGTATGATTTGATATTTCCTTCTCCACTGTTACTCAAAACAATTTAACAGAGCATGCTTCATATTTAGTCTAATTCTTAATATAACAATCATGTAACCCTTAACTCTACTGAAAGGCCAGGTAACATAGCCAACACACATTTGCCTTACCTCGTAAAGGCCTTCTTAAAAGGCTTCAGAGATTGTTTTATTCCAAATTCTGTCAAGCTGATTGATAGTTGATGGTGCCTGTAATTCTCTTAATGCACTTTAAAGCTTCACAGTCCTCAAAGACTGGAAATGCAGAAGTGTTCATATTCCAATTCAACAGATTTTTCATTATCTCGGTAAGAGTTAAACTATTTATCTTTTTTCCTTCCCCTTTGCCTCTTTTGCATGAGAGAAGTCAGTATTTTATTACAAAATTTTCCTAGTTTTTTTTTTTTTTTTTTGCTTTTAAGGCACATGTGCTCACCAGAAAGAGACAGAGACAGAAGCGAGAAAGCACCGCCCTGGCATATTTTTCAAGCCAGGTCCAGGATTTGTGCTGCAGTGGGCCATGTAGGATTCAGCCCCCTTAGCCCCCATACCATTGGCTGGCCCCTCTAAATCTTTTGTAAAGTCAGTCTTTGTTGGAGTTGCTATTATCTTTCAGACAATGTAGGTTAAAGAGGCACTGATTACTGGACTCAATTTATTCTTCTAATCTCAAAAGGAAGTTATACTTAACATCCTTAAGTTACATGCAGATCTTCCCACATTACCTGTATTACTAAACTGCTGTTTGTTTAAGGGGGGGGGAGGTTCAGCGATTCCTCAGACCCTAGCTCTAAGATGAAAATCTAAGTCTTTCACCAGAAGAAAATGTGTAATAGCCCAAGATTATAGGTTCTTTAAAAAGATTTGCTCCTTTAAGCATTATAATTGAGAAAAAAAATTGCCTTTGATATGACATAGACCTTAGTAGTCCAAATTATTTTTATGACATTCCCTTGGATGCACCTCATTTAGTGGTTTGCAGTTAAGTACACAGTAAACCTGCAGCCTACCAAGCACCTCTATGCCAGGGTCTTAAGATGATGTGGTTCTGCACTACCATGAAATACTCCAAACTAGTTAAAGATCAAAGTCAGTGAACACCAAGCCAGTTATATACTGCTTGTAGCATACTATTTCATCTGTAAAAATTAAGTTACCTCTGTGTAAGCAGTCATGTAAACATCACCGTTTAGAATCCCGTTTTGTGTGTGTGTGTGTGTGTGTGTGTGCGCGTGTGTGTGCGCGGAGGGGTGGTATTTTCAGCCATGCACTTTACGAGCCTTTCAGAATACTATAGGGATTTTATTTTGCATTACCTTAGAGGCATTACTTTTAGTAATCAAGATACTTCCCTCTCCCACAAAACATGGTTGTTCTATAGTTCTTTCCCTGAATATACAGTTCTTTTAAATTCGATAAATGAAAGAGGAAAGAGAAAAAACATCCTCATAGGGGATAGCCACCCCACAATCATTCCATTTCTCCTTTCAGAATTTTGGTGCACGCACACACACACCTTGACGATGTAGTTTTCACAGTCAGTTCTGGGAGTCAAACCCCACAGCCCTATGGGATCTAGCTGCCTTACTGACCACATAACCAGCTGGCCCATTGAGTACATGTTCATTAAAATTTGATATTTTTAAATTATATCAAGTATGAAATCAGTGTTTTTGTTTTTCCCAAACCCATAAATTTCTAGTTAAAAAAAAATCTGTTATAGGGCACATGTGCTTGCCAGAGAAAAGGGGGGGGGCAGAGAGAGGGAGAGAGAAAGTATGTGCATCAGTAAACACCCACTGGGGACAGCCCCAATACCTTCTCCAGTCTGGGAAGGAATGCACACACATACCGTGTCTTTTAAACCAGTGGGTCTGGGACTCAGTCGGCCATGTAGGGTCCAGCTGCCTTAACCACCACACCACCAGTTGGCCCCTCCCATTAGCTTTTGAGGTCAACCTTCAGCTGGATCTGATAAAGAATTTTAGATAATCTGTCTTGAATAGTGATAAATGTCCTCAAGAGATTAAGAATTATATTCTTGAACTATTTTGTATTGATGGGATAGAACTAACATTTTTATAATTAAAAATAGTAATAAGCAAAAGTGAAAAATTTACATAGGTGTTTATTACTATGCTTGCGACTTTGAAAATGTGATAAGTTGCTTAAATTCCAAGGCTGATGTCATTCAACACATTTTTAGTCAACCTTTAAATTTTTCACCACTGAAAACTGATGTGCCACCACTGCTGACCTGGGCTTTAAGGCTTTTACGACAGCAGCACAACTTTCTCTATTTAATTTTGGCATATTTAAAAATGATTTACACTAATTTGGGATCTTTCTGTTGCTACAAAACATTCAAGCCTGTATTTTGTGACTATGAACCTACACTACCTTTTACTTTTCAAGATAAACTTTACATCCCATTCCCTCACCTAGCCAGCACTACAATGCCACTATCATGGTGCCAAGGAACTGCAATTGTAATTCTAACTTGTAATATTTTTAAAATAAACTGTAAATTTTATACTCCAAATAAAGATTTGAAAAATTAGCCTGCTTTAGAAGGTTAACTTTCATTTCTAACATTTTATACATTTACTCTTTAAAGATTTTTAAGAGGGTAAGCCTAGAAAAATAAAAGCATATGTGTGACCTTGATAGGTGGTCTGAGTCCTGATAGCTTGTAGATGGTACAGGTATTAAGGTGAAACACTGCCTGAGTGGACAGAGGCTCCAAATATATAATCTATTACAGCCCGTTTTCAGTTGTCAGGGGCATGTATGCTTCACAGGAGGGAGGAGGAAGTAGGCACTCACCCACTACTGGGGTGTAGACATGCTACAATCCCTTCTCTATCCTGACAAGATCTGAGGCACACATACTCCTGGTATGTTTTTCAAGCTGGTAGGGCCAGCCCACAGTTTCATTTTCTAACACCAAAAATAACTCTTTAGGAGTCATTTGATTTATAATCAGTAACCGACACAAAGCATTCTAGGACAGACACCATACTATTATCTCCCACATTGACGTTTATTACATGAATAACATTTGTGGCAAAAACAAGTAACAAGTTCAGTAACTGAATTCACATTGACAGGTTTCATTTTGATCCATTAGCCAATTTGGGAAAAAGCCATATTAATCAAAGGGATTAAATTAAAAAGCACCTTTTCCTTGCTACATATAATCTTTAAAACTCCAAGCAGATTTCAGATGTAAAACCTAACTGCAGGATTTTCAAATGGACCATACTATGGACTTGTCTCTTCAACATTTTTAAAAATTAGCGATTTATACAGTTACTTAAAAATCATATGCTCTATCAGGCAGGAAACTGAAAATACATCTGTGAGAATCATACTCCACAGCAAATACCTATGTACTTAAACTGAATTCTCAGGTCACTGAGAACCTTAATCCTACTCTAAGACACCTTGCAATAACTTACAACTATCACTTTTTGAAAATTTCTTTTTGGTCTTTTGGTCAAGTGCCAAGGGGATTTTATTTTAGAACCTCAAGCTAGTGTTTGCAACACTCCCATACCCGGGAGTAACACAATTATGAATCTTCAGAAACCCAGATACTTCTTAGATCATCAATATTTCAGAGCTATGCCTGATAAATGACATTTGAAAAAGAACTAATACAGAATTAGATGAATTTATACTCCTAAAGCCACCTAAACTCATCTTTAGGCTTTATATTTACAGTGTTGTCCAGCAAAAATTAAAGAAAAAAGTTACACTAATTGTTTTCAAGTTCTATTCCAGATGTCTGCTTATTAAGACTTGTAGTTTATGCCGAGGTGAAGTACTATCCTCTAAAACCACACTATGCTACTTCTTGTAGAGCTAAAGTTAAATACATCAACCCAAATCTTATGAAGGCAGCACACCTTTAGCAGTTAACTAGTATATAAAAGTATCAACATCAGTGGTTTGAATATAAAAATTTATTATAAGTCAAAGTATGCAACAAATAAAACCTACAGAAAACAGATTTTCCCATCACAATCTGTTGCTTTACCAAATAATATTTTGAAAACACATTCCTTCAGTCATTATAAAGTTCTTAAAATACAAAAGAAATTAAATCTGTAAGAAAGTCTAGTAGACCAGATGCTGTTGTCAGGACACGTATGTTGGTATTTATGCTTTCAGTACATCCCACGCCATCCACCTCCACTCATGCCACCTTGACCATAGTAACCTCCACTGCCTCCACCACCACGGCCTTAAAAAAAAGACATTAAGAATAACTTAGCAAGAGTTATCTGTGCCTTCTAATTATCTGCAGTACATATGGGGCTAGCCCAAACTTAACAAAGAGATACTTACCATAACCACCCAAGCCATCAGGAGTACCATATCCTCCACTGTAATTGTTCCCCATTCCCATTCTTCCAACAGATCCATAACCTCCCTGATTATCTTTAGAAGGGGGGAAAAAAAAGTCTCAGACTGATTGCTACATAGCTCATTCTGCTTATTTGTAAAATGTTACATACCCATTCCATCTCTGCCATAGCCTCCCATTCCAGAACCTCCCATTCCAGAGCCACCTCCAGGAGTAGAATTCAAGAAGAGTTCAATGTATCGATGTTCTTTGAGGAAAAAAGAGTAATGGGAGAGAGAAGAATAAATGGACCAGTATTATCAAAGCTTTAAAATATCAATTAGCTCTTATTAAAGTCAAAGTGTAATTATCACAATTCCAAGTGCAGATCTATAAAAAAACTCCTAAGAAGCCACTGAAGTCTGAACTTCAGTATTAAAAACCAATTATTTTAGGTCTCAACCAAGCTCTACTACGAAGAGATCTATTTAACTAAACAAGTGAGTACTTTATAAATAAGCCCACTTTTGGAAACAAGACAGAATGCCAAGTGCACCACTTACGCATATTATTTTTATCTTTAGACATGGCAGCTACTGCATCTTCATGTGTCACAAACTCTACATCTGCTTCTCCTGTTGCTCTGCCATCAGCTCCAATGTCAATATGAACTCGTATTGGATTTAGTGGTGAGAAGAACTAAATCAACACACACAAAAATACTTGGTATTTATTCCCTTCCACTGCCCTGTGTTGCCAAGGTAACAATCAACTACAGAGGCTCTATAAATTTAAGCCTACATACACTTAGGAAAAACACAACTTTTTTGCTACCCTTCATTGTTTCTATTTGTTCTTATTTTTAAAATTTATTTTATTTATTTTATACATTCAATCACAATACATCACTTAGCTTATAAAGTGGATTTACCCAATATTAATACACTTCACACTAGTCCAGTTGAAGACACTATATACATTATCATCAATAGAATTTGCTGCCTTTAAGGTAAGTCAGGTGTTATTTATTTATTTTTTTTTTCAATTTGGCAAAGTGAGATAATAAGTTGCCAGGTTCAGGACTCGAACTGCCATTGGCCCGTGGAAGTCTAACACCTTAATCACAATGTGCCCCTGCTGGTTCCAAGGTGGTAATTATTTTTGAGACAGAGGGAGGGAGGGTCCCTACTTTCTCCAGACCTCCAGCTCTTTAGGAATCTGGCACCCACATGTAGGTGCCCTTTCTATTTTTAATCTGCAGTAACCATATGGTTAGTTTCCAGCCTTGCAGCACACTTGTGTTACTACTGCTGCTGCAGAAAGGCTGGAGACCAACTTTAAGAAAAAATTTATCTAACCTCAAAAAGTTTAGCCTACGGAAAGGCTCATACCCTACACTTCTGGAAGGGAATAAAATTAATAAAACTCTACCATCTCCTTGACTCCCCAAAAATATTATTTCAAAATTTGTTTTAGAATATAAAAGTTCACCTGAGATTTAGAAAATACATAAATTGGGGCTGGCAGGTGGCACAGTGGGTTAAAGGTGCTGGATTATCACGTGGTCGATGGTGGTTCGAGTCCCAAATCTGGCGGCTTGCTTTCTCGCCTTCCTTTCCTCTCTCTGGTGAAATTGAAGTAACGACAATAGAATTATATACTTTAAAAAAAGAAAATATATAAAGAGAGGGTATACCATGACTTAGAATAAGAGGGTTGGATAAACCTAACAATTATATAGGAATAGTTTCCGAAATAGATAATTTATATCGAATCACAAATTAACTAGAGTTAACGTTTTTCTTTGAAAGAGCTACTTTAACTTTGTTATTTGAATCTGACCATAAAGGGACAGAGAGAGAGAAAGAAAGAAAGCCACCAGGTCTGGGACTTGAACCGTGGTCGGCCATGTGGAAGTCTAACACCTTCACCACCATGCCACCTGCCAGCCCCAAATTAACTACAGTTAATTAACTTCTGTTAAAAGCACCTGAACTTAGGCCAACTGGTTCCAAGTAAGATGTAAAGCAAACTTTTTGCTAAGAACCACGTAGTGTTTTGGGGCTATATGGTCCACTGGGTCTCTAATGCAGCTACTCAACAGGTACACAAAAGGGTGGTTATTACTAGATTTGTCCTAGTGGCTGATGTTGGCTAAGACCCTAATCAGTCTGAAATCAACCAGTTTCTAATAAATAATCTTCAGTTTCTAATCCTCAAGTTTCTAATCATTATCTAGACTAGAAAGTCAAAACAGACCACTAAACTTGATTACATGTTTATGCTTCCACGACCTGACACAACCAAAGAAATAATTTTTCAGTCATCATCACTGTATGCTGACCAGTCTCTTTCACTATATTCTTTTTAAAAGATTTATCTTTATTATTTATTTATTTTAATTTGACCAGAGAGGGATGGGTAGGAAGTGAGAAAGCAAGCCACCAGGTCCAGGACTCGAACCACATTTGGCCATTTGGGAGTTTGGTGCTCTTAACCACCATACCACCTGCTGGCCCCTCGCTATGCTCTTAATTGGATTTAAGAATGTAGCTACTAACTTGCTTAAATCTTGTATGGGGGTACTTAAAAAGTCTGTGAAAAATGCAATTATAGTATGAGCGGCCCCCCCAACCCAGTGTTCCCATAATACTCATTTTCCCACAAACTTTTTGAAGACTCATAGAGGTCAGCACAAATGGACCAAAAATACCCAGCCACCACTAAAAGGTAAAAGTAGATACATTTTTACATTCAATGGACTTTGGCACTAAACTAAAAAATAAGACATTAAGATTGCTTCAATATTTTGATACCATGTATAAAACCACAAATAACTAAAGTCACTCACATTAGCAATGTCATTTTCAGTTGCACGAAATGGCAACCCTCTCATATGTACAAAATGACCACCATGAAAACCTGAACTCGCATCACCAGCTCCGCCATAGCCATGTCCTCCCATACCTAGAAAATGAAATTTGGATACATGTAGAAAAACACATACAACACATAGAAGGTATAAGCCCCCAGTATAGGAATACACTGAAATATGCCAAAGTTTTTTTTATAGAAGTCTCCTACATTACCACTAAGAGCTTACAAAGCAAATACTAAAATTTACCTCTGAATGAAAATATCTTTAATATTTATTTTACCTCTTCCATCTCTCATTCGGTCATCAAAGCCATCATTCCCATAGCCATAATTATTATAGCCACCGTAGTCATCAAAACCTCCATAACCTGCATAATTTAAGGAGAAATACATGTATATACTTTAAAAAGATAGTATTTCATGCAGACATATTTTGTGGCAGACAATCTGTTTAACTTCTTGGTTATGAAAAATTTTCCAAGTCCAAACTTAGTGCATATGAAAAAAGCAGTCAATACTTGGTGGAAATTTAAAATCTCCAAATGACAAATTCACACGTAAATTTCATCCTTTTGCCAAACAAAAATGTCAAAATATGCAAATAATTCATTTTAATCTCTACGGAATTTTTTAGGTGTTAATATGTGCATCATTCAAGTTCCACAGCTAACCACTGGAACCCATACTTTCATGAACAGGTTTTAAGACCTAGTAGGTACTGAAATTACTGCCATTTCTGTATTTCTTGACAAAGTGTCAGGAACACTAAGAAAATGACAACAGAACCTTTGTTCATTAGATACACATACCACCATCATATCCATCACCTCCTCGTCGCATTCTGTCATACATACTTCCACGCCCAGCTCCATAATAACCCCCTCTTCCTCCTATTGGTCTATCATATGGTCCCGGTCGCTGTCCCAGCAATCTTCTTGGTGGATCATAAAATCCTTTGATTTCACTCCTGCTACTTCTGAAGATCTCAATATACCTATTTAAAAATGTTTTAAGGTACAGGTTTCAGCATAAATATACTAGAGTAAATTAGATATGGGGCAAAATGCAGTAAGGACTTCTACATCTAGATACATAACCCAAAATTGCCTAAGTACACCATAAGTTAACTTTTTTACACCTACAAACTTAAATAATTAAATATTTAAGTTTTACATAGACAAATTAGTCATTTGAAAACAATTCATAAAATATGTATTTTTAGTTTGTTTCCTTTAATACATGATAGATGTTTTAAAAAATATGTGATTATACAAAATAATTTATCAACAACATCCTACAGAAAAATGGAAACAATCTAATTTTAATTTAAGTAGACTATTAGCATTAATTCCCCACCCCAATCTGTAGTTTTCCAAGTTTAATTTAGATTATTATCAATTCTTTTAAACTACCCCAGAAAAATTTATGGTTACCCCCCCATTTAAACGATAAGTGACCCACAACCCCCAAAAATAAAAATTTAACACCATCCCAAACTCTCCATCCCCACCTGTGCCCTATTCTTTCCTTGTGTTTCCCCAGAGCATTTTCTGCTATCTCCTTTGAAGCAAACTGCACGAAGGCCTCCCCTGTGCTTCTCCCCTGGTAGTCCATCGTCAATGTTATCCCATTTGGCACGATTTCCAACCCTTTAACCCAAGGACAAATAACCCCATCAAGGGGAACAGTGTTAAAGGCTGAAACATTCCCATCTGAATCAAATATTTAAAGCAAGTCTAAACAAAACAAAACAAAAAAATCTTAGTTTCCCATCACCCCATAATACAAAAGGAAAACTTTTCATATATTACTGGATTAAATAATTTTCTTTGCAACCAGTTTTTAAAAATAACATATACTCTAAAAGCCCACCTATATTACATGAAAAATAAAAGTTACAAGTCAAATTTAACTATGCTCCATATGCTAAGTTATGATTAATTTCATCACAAAATTCTCAAGTTTACTGTACATTAGGTTTTTACCTACTCTACACATTCTTTATTGACTAACTGAAGCACATTTTGTATTTTAACACATTAATCAAGAGTATCATAGTTAAATTTATTAAGTTCAAAAATCAAATGTCTTACCAAATTAAAAACTGAGTAATATAATACAAATATAAAATCAAAATACTACTAAACTTTGACTAATACTAGAGGTACCTTGAAAGAACTGAACTATTTCCTCTTTGCTGCAACCAAATGGCAATCCACGAAGTCGTACTGTCCCATCACTAGCGTCATTTGGACCATTATGTTTCATAACCCAATCCATCTCAATACCGTTTGACTTAAATGCTATAAAGAAATAAACAAGCACACAAAACAGTCAATCAAAATATACTCTTGCCAAAAATCACTGAAGAAATACCTCTCAGAGGCATTACAACAGGAAATGTAACACAGACTAAAGTTATTCTTGTAACAATTTCATAACAATAGTATATCTATTACGGGGTAAGCAAAAGACTGGGAAACCTGATGTCCCTCATACCAAATGAACTGAATTCATAAGATTAAGTATTATATATCAGCAAATTCTAAGAAAACTATTTGCATAATTCCACTGCCAGTCTTCAAATTATTTGACTGTGTCTCTTTAATACTAACTCTATTCTTCATCATTTCCCAAATTCTAACCACACTTTTCTGATTTCATTATTTGCCTGAATAGCTCTACACATTTTTTAATATGTGGATCATTCAGAAGCTGCAGTGTCCATTTACATTAAGACCCTCAGTAAAAAAAAAAAAAAAAAAAAAATGCAATGAGTACTTGATGATGTTGGAAAATCGCACCACAAGAGTATAAATTTTTATGATAAACTTTAAACACATCAAATTGGTTTTGGAGGAAAAACACCTATCTCCATTTTGACTAGATCTAAGTTTAAACACCAAGAGTTTTAAAATGATGTAATACTGTATTTTAAAATTGCAATAATAGGCAATTCAAAAGTGATTATTTTCCAACAGCACCCAGTTCAAAGCCACCTATTTGAAAGACACTGGAAATAATTTATAGAGATCTGTTTACTCTTTTGTATTTAAATCCATTTGATTAGATATTATAAATGTTTTAAGAGTAATCACATTCAAAAATTTTAAAAGGGTATAGTAAGTCTTCCTTACCCTCCAAACTGAACCCATCCACCCAGTTCCCTTTCCAGAGGAAACCATCCTTCCTTATAAAATTCCGGAACACTTTCAAAAGAGGCTAGTGCAGAAGTCCTTCAGCTGCAGAAACTTACCAGAACCTTACAAATTTCACTATGCAGCTGTAGGAATCCTACTCACCTGAATATTTCAAAATTTTCCCTTACCACCTCATCCCCTGTAAACAAAACAATTTGTTCACTTGATTCCTTTATGCTTGAGGATATTCATATCAAAAGTATTCACTAATATTTTGTTTCACAGAATCTAATTAACAGTGCAATGGTCAGTGGTAGTATCTCCAAAGGTCAAGTTTCCTTTTCCTAGAATCCATGTACTTTAAAATAAGCTAGCTAACTGTCAAAATTCTGTAAACGGTTATCAACCAAATACTTCTACATATGAATCACCTTTTGCACCTTTTTATTTTGAAGGTAAAGTCCTAGGTGCCAGGCTAGACCATGAGAGTAAAAAATGAGAGTACAAATTTTTAACTGATGCTAACTAATTCTATGCACACAACTGGTGTGATCTTTTAAAGAAACCTTGTGTTTGAATCCCTACTCTGCCACTCTCTGGCTACTTAATGTAAACAACTTACTTAAACTAAGCCTGTTTAGATGTAAAATAAAGCAGTAGTACCTACACCTCACTGGACTGGTAAAACAAAATACCTGATCCTTTAATAGACTACTCTGAGTCTTGAAATAAAGACTATTAAAACAAGTCTCTCCCAAAGTGAATAAGGAGTTTTTAAAGTTAAATATTATTCTAGAGTACCCCTGAAAAGAGGAGGCCCCACATCAATTTAGAAAATAAAACAGTATGTCTTGATGATCACAACCTCTTACAACTTTTTTTTTGTCAAATAGCATTAACCAAGAAATGTTTCCTTTAAAATATGATTTAAGAACACACAAATGAGTGGAAAAGCTCTAACGTCTTTATGAAAAAAATGCAAGAACTCTGCAAAGACCTTAATCACAGCAGTGCTTTTTTACCATCTCTTAGCATGTTCCCCTTTTCAATATAAGAATTGTAATTCAATATAAAGATCTGTCATGTGCAAATACAAAAAAAGATGAAGTTGATTTTATCTTTACTATAAACCTTAACACTTCACAAGAAAATACCAGCAAGCAAACTAGTTTTGACTACCTGGATCAGCCTGTACCAATGAGAAGACCCATATGAAACAACAAGGTATTATTTATAAAAATCACTAAACTGTTAACACAATTTTTAACAGAAGTTAACCAAATTCAGAACACAAACTATTTTATAGAATAACTATCCAATAACTATTTTTGTGTGTGAAATTTAAAAAATCCTCACTTTATTACCCCCCCACCAAAAACCAAAATCTGAGTCTAAAGTTCTACCTACAACTCAGAAAAACTCTAAGGACATACAAAATACTCTAATGCTTTAATAAAGCTGTCAGAAACTACAATCTTTCAACAATGTGGCTAATCAATGTGGCTGTTCTTAAGAATTAAGTGTTTTGGGACCAGCGTTAGCATAATGGCTATGTCGCTGAACTCCCATGTAGCTGAACTCCCATGTAGTCGACCGCAGTTTGAGTCCCAGTTCCGGTGGCTTAAACTCACACTGGGCCTCTCTCTGTGCGTGCATGCCCAAGTTCCAGAGAGGAGAAGGGATTGCAGAGTAGCCATCCCCCTAGGGGGTGATTTCTTTCTGTCTTGTCTTTCTGGCGAGCTCATGTGCCCTATTAGCAAAAAACCTCTCCCCCCACCCCCGAAAAAAATTAGCACTAATCAAAAATTCCAGCAGTTGAAATATGAATTACTTTAGTTTTATAAGGTTTTAAATACAATTTCTTAACACTACAGAAGTGAAAGAAACCAGTTATAAAAGATCACATATTGTATGATTTCATTTATATCTGAAATATCCACAATACAAAAATCTACAAAGACAGATCAGTGATGGACATTTGAGGGAAGGGAACTAGTATGGGGAATTACCACTATAATGTGTCATTTTGGAGTAATAAAAATGTTCTAAAATTATCGATTGCAGTGACATTCGTACAACTCTATTATAAAACCTACTAGACTGTACATTTCAAATGGGTTAAGAATAGTTTAGTTATATCCCAAAGCTGTTAAGAAAGTTTCCAATAGAGACCAACTGAAATGCACAATTCTCAAAATATGGAGGAATATTCTATCCTCTCAAATCCAATACATAAGTAATTTCATGCATCAATTAAAAAAAAAAACCTGTAAACAGTAGCCTAAAAGTAGTACCCAAGGTCTAGAAAATGAGAATGAATTTTTTTGGCAAAAGTGGTGATAGCAAATTTAATCGTAATGAAAAATTTACATCATTCCTCCTTTCCCAAGTGCTTAATTTTAAAAAACCTAGACAGTAATAACTAAAGGGAATGTATTTTCAAAAATGAGTTTACTTGAACCAAGTTTTTACCTACTAGTGTTCAGTTAGTTACTTATTTAACAAAACAAGGACATCAAAAGATGATGAACATTAAAGGTGTACAGTCTAATCCAATTTTGAAAGCTATCTGTCAAATCATGTACTACTTTATAGGAAAGTCTGGCTGTCTTCAAAATCCACTAAAACCTATTTCAAGGTAAGATTTTTGGTGAACTTTTTTGGCAATCTTCAAAAAGTTTCACAGAACATCAACATTAGTAGAAAAGATTTTTTTGTTTTGTTTTTTAAAACTGAAGTAGATTAACAGACTTCTTGTAGAGATTTGTATGCATAATCGGAAACTTATTCTCCAGCCTTGCCCATCCTTTGTACTGTCTTCAATGAAAATTACTGATCCAGCTCTCCTCTGCTCCAAGGACCTCCCCCGCCCACAGCACACCTAGATGACTAACTAGGCTTAGTTTTTCTTTTAGTAGGTTTATTTCTTTGTTCAAAAATACTATACCCCTACACACACATACACAGCTACCAAAAGAAAATAAATCCTAACTATATCATGAAGTATTTTACTTCAACACCATAATGCCAAGAAAAATCTATGCACAAATGAAGTTCTTGGAGATTTAACATCGAAAGTAACTTAATTCCTACATATACACATACTTTTTTTTTTTTTGCCATCACTGGTTCCCCCAAATAAAATGTCTAACCCACAGGGGCCCAACTGTTCAAAACCATTGCTAAACCACCACCAACCTGTCCAAAAGTTCAAAGGGATACCACAAGTTCTCTGGGTCAAGACGACTTACTTTAAAACATGCTCATTTCACACGCCTATATGACAGTCACCCACTTTTCTACTCACAAAATAATTACCCACAAAGTCTTCATAAACGTTTAAGCGTGAAAAAACTCTTTGGAAAATGAGTACGTACTCTTTTCGAAGTTCCAAATCTGGAATATAAGGGCCGGCTAAGCGTCCTTTATTCCTCCCGGGAGACTTTTCGTTTATCTAGCTGCCCTAGAGACCAGAGAGCTAGGGAGAGTACGCCCCCTCCGCCTCCCCGTCCGGCTGCCAAGCTTGGGGCTTAAAAACCTTCGCCACCGGGCGGCGGAATTACAAAGGAGGCCGTCTGCCTCCTTTGTCCTGGATCTGGGAGTTGAGCGCCTTCGTCTCCAGGGACTTGCCTCCCCCAGCTCCAGCCTCTCTCATCCTGGGAATCTGCGTCAGAAGTCACTCGCATTGGGCGGCAAAGCCCCCCCCCACCCCCGCCACCCAAGGTAGCCCTGCCGAGACTGCGGAGGAAGGGAAGCCGCGGCGGGAGGCCAGGCCCATCCGGCGCCATTTCCATCGGGAGCGCGCCCGGCGGCCCTGACCCACCCCCCCACCCAACTTCCCGGCCTTTCCCTGCTCGCTTCTCTCCCCACCCTCAACCCGTTCCAGAGAGCTTTCAACATCCCTCACCCACAGTCTTCTAAATCAGTTTTCGGAAGCTGGGGAACAAAAAGTAGAAAGAGCGGGAAGCCGAGGTGGACGCGCCACCGTGCCCAAAATGGCGGAGGCCAAGCCAGCTGGAAGAGGGTAAAAGCCGGATGCTCCCCACTTCGGGCCTCGGCGGCGTCCGCTTTAATCCCCCTGAACAAGTCCTCCCAGGGCAGGCCGTCCTCCCAGAAGTGGGAGATCGCCCGGGAGGCGCAGCCCGGTGGCCTCCGAGCGGCGACCTCCACACTTCTTCCCACCCTACCCCTCCCGCTCTTTCGTCCTTCTCCCGACTTCGCTCTCGAAACCACCAGCCCAACCTACCCCCTTTTACTTCACCCTGTCGGGAGATAGTAACGCCGACGCCGGTGCTGACGGGGTCCGGCAGAAGGAGGAGTCGTCCGCCTTGTGTAGCGCTCCTCACAACGGTCCTCCCAACCGTCTGCGGCGGCAACCGCTAAGGGAGCTGCGCAGGATAGCAACTGCCCTGGGGGGATGGGAGAGAGCGAGCGAGAAGGAGGGGGTGGAACGAGAACTACGAAGGCCGGCCGGCCCCACTCTCGCGAGAGAAGACAGTCGGTTCCGCCTAGACACGAGCGCCGTGAAGTGCGCTTGCGCGCTGCTGGGCCGACCAATTGTGGGAGGCGAGGGAGAGAGAAGCAGAGACTGGGCCAATTAAAGAGCCGGAGCAGGCTCCGCCTTCTTGTCTGCGGTACAGCCCTCAAACTGAGCACCTTTCTACCCTCTCCGGGAGGACGTGAGGTGGCAGTAGCACGCCTACCAGTGTGTTTTGAAGGAGCCGTGGTACAAGGTTTGGAACTGTTCCCCGGTGGTCTTACCCCACCTCGCACGAATTCCGTAAAGGCCCCGCCCTTATTCCAGCGCTAACAGCCTGGAAAGAGCGCCACGTGGTTCGGCTGCTAGACGCGGGGAAGGATTGCCCACCATGTTTGCATTATGTGGTAGAAAATCAATGTATTTCGGCTACCAAGTTGCAAAAGTGTCCACCAGCATCAGATTTTGGCTCTTGGTCTGGGATTCTTCCTCCTTCCCCCAGCTGTGGAGCTGCCAGCAGTCCCTCAGCGGGCCTCGTTCTGGTGCTCCTTGCAGGCCTGGGTTTGCTTGATTGATTTCCTTATATGTTTTTCTTTTCTCTACAAATCAGTAATCCCTCGCTTTCTTCTCTTACCTTCGCGTTGTCGTTCACCTCTCCTTCCTTTAAAACCTCAGTTACCAATCAGCCGCTCATGGCGGCCGTTTTTGAATTGGCCTTAATACAGTTAAATTTCGTTTAAAGTGTAACTTAATACCTATTGTTTGTGCCGTCACGCTACCAAGGTTTCTTATGGCACTTTATGGCTTTTTTTTTAAGTACCCCCACACACACCTCAAAAATGCAAGCTCAATTTCTGTGGGAAGGATGGAGGGTAATCCCCATAGAGATCAACGCACATTAAAGTAGAAAGCTCCTTGCAGTGCCAGGGAGAGGTGTACTTTTGACTACAGTGTTTCTGTGGGATGGATTAAGATTGGGAATGTGAATAAAGGTAGTTTGTAGGCAGCTTTGAATGTCCAGCCAAAAGATTTTGCACTTAATGCTACAGACATTAGGAAGTCCATTGGGGGGCGGTGAGTGAGTAAGTGTTTGCAGTGTAGAAGGGTGAATAATTCCCCCCCCCCCATGAGCTCTGCAGTGAAAGGATGGAGACAGAAGGCCAGTTCCCTTCATGTAACAGAAACTTAGGTTTCTTGACTTTAATTGATTAGAAAGCCTGCTTAATAGGCGGTAAGAATTGCCTGGGTTATAGTGTCTTACTATCATTTTTTTTTTTTTTTGGAGAGGTTTTTCCTATAGGTTGTGTGCACTCGCCAGACAGAAACCGACATAGAGACAGAAAGTGAGAAATCACCCCCCAGGAGGCATGGCCGTGCAGCAATACCTTCTCCTCCATTCTCCTCTTGGGATCTGGGGGCATGCACGCACGCGCCGGCGTGAGTTTCTTAAGCCACCAGGTCCAGGACTTGAACCGCGGTCAACTACGTGGAAGTCCAGCGACATAGCCATTACGCTAACTGCTGGTCCCCTTCCTATCATTCTTGAGCCCACTCTCTCAAAATACCCCTGGGGGAGGAAGGAAGTTTCTATTATTAAAAGCCACAGAAAAACAAAACTAGGATACTTCCTTGAGAGCAGGTTTGGGCTAGACACTACTCAGTTCACTAGCTCTTTACAACCCTGAAAAATAATTATCTTCATTTCACAAATGAGGTGTCTGAGTTCTATAGAAATAAAACGTTTCCCAAGGTCACACAGCTGAGTGGCAAAGCCGAAAGTGAGTTCAGACAGTTTTACTTCAAAGGTCAGGATCTGTTAACTATGAACTTTCCTCAGTTTACAATGAACTTCTTCATGTGCTAAGGGAACAGACATCATTTTAGGCAAATTGGAGATACTTGTCCTAAAAACACTGGAGTTAATCATCTGGAGAGTTACTAGTTTGTGGTTATCATTTTGTGGTTACTCGTTTACTGGCTGGGGTCTTTTTTGGAGAGGTTTTTTGCACGTGCGCTGGCCAGAAAGACAGAGAGAGACAGAAAGTGAGAAATTCCACCCCCCCCCAAACACACACACAGGGAGGGGGGATGGCCACAGAGCAATCCCTTCTCCATTCTCTCGGGGATCTTGGGTACACAGGCACATGCTCCCATGCTCCCAGCGTGAGTTTAAACCACCAGGTCTGGGACTTGAACCATGGTCTCGACTACATGGGAGTCCAGCGACACATCCATTACACCAACTGCTGGTCCCAGGCTGGAGACTTTTGAACAGGCCTGAAATTTGGTAGTCCTGGATTCAGAACACTTTGAGCCCTCTCCTCCCCCTCCCCCCTTTAAAAAAAAAAAAAAGCTTTATTAGTAAGACTCCAAGCTCCCTTACTTCAAGTGGAGTTCTTTCCAGTGTCTTTCTTCCCTGGGTTCAAGTTACAGGGCTACTTTTATCTTTTCAGTCTTTCAACATGATTTGGTTGATAAAGTTTTGTAATCCTTTTCAACCCTTGCTTGAATTCAATCTTTTTACTGATTTTGGTATTCTTTCCGCATACTTTGTGTGATGTGGGCCACAGTCCTAAAATCATTCTAACGATGTGAATGACTTTTCACCACTGAACTGCAATGTCTGTTTTTCTTTTGCCTTTATTTATGTTAAGTACTCTTTGCCTTTGCCTTTTCCAGTGGAAGGACTCTTGTCTTTACATTAGGAAGGACTTGAAATTTGTGTATTTGTTTTTCCTTTTTACTATTATAGGAAGCTTTGAGTTAAAAAAAAAATACTGTATAGTGGTAAATGTAATTTTTATTTGGCTTTCTA